TCAGACATAATGCACCTCAATTGCAAAAAGAGAAACTGGCGACAAATGATACAGGGTCTAGTTCATATCTATTTGTGGAGCACACGGGGCACAAAATCCTAAGGGAAATCGTGTGTTTGATCGATTCACAAATTTAATACTAACAAATGTTTAATAATTTATCCTTATTGCAATTATTTCCACCAAGGAGCAGGAAAATTCGAAGAACTAATAAGTATATACTAGAGCTACGGTCACGAATCTCAAAGAGAACGAACAACAACCAAAAACAAAAAGCTTCCCCCAAGGGTAAACAATCGATCGACAAGTCACCGCCAAGCAGGTGAAGCCACAATTTTAAACATGTGACAGGTCAAAGCCCTAAAGAAGGTCACTCACTCGATAGCGACAAGATCTACCAAGGACGAGACATAATTTGTCGTGGAAGCACGTCTCATCGGATACCTCACACAGGCAACGACAAATTCCACCTAAAACCTTGCTAATAGGCGTATCCAGTCGAGTTGACGAACCAACTAGATAGATGAGACGTAGGCCCCGTAAGTCTTGAGCCAAATTAACAAATGAGTCAAGATTTACTAGACAAAACAAATTAACTCGTCAGTTGACTGACCGACCGACCGAAGTGCAAGTAGAAACACCCTGATGGTGGTTGAACAACTGACCCGCTCTTGTCGCGCAGACGAGATCAGCATTCGACCGAATGCCTCGGTCATCCAAACACAAGGCACGATCGTCACCCAGTCAATGGTCTTAGTCAGTTGCATTCTAGCGAATCGACCAATCAAACATCGTCTTATCAAAATTCAAATTATAAAACAAATATTGAATGAAATCCATACAATTTATTATAATATTAATCATATTAAGAACGATTTTCATAATTGTTTCATCATTTCTATAATTAAACAAAAAACATTATTATAAATGAGAAACAAAATGACGACCAGAGGGGGCCGTGAAGACTCCCTCGATTCTCTCCACAGTAATTTTTAACTCATTTTATTCACTTCCTCACTTAACTTTTAACTCTAAGGTGTATTCATAAAAGACAACTCAAACATCCAACATGTATAAAAATGAATTGTTCTATTCAAGATGCATGAATTCATAAGAATTGTATGTCACATGTAATTTTCTCAAATTAAGAATAAAATAAAATAGAGCTGTTTATTGAGTATGTGTACGGATTGTAATGGTCCATTCACAGCTCAATAATTCCCCCCACCGGCCCCTACAGACATTTATAGTACTGAATCCTCGGGCTAACCTTTGTTCACCTGGGCCCACACCCCATCTGCTTCCACCCATGCTCCGATGCACCACATTGCAATATCCACGTGGCAAACGGTGACCGTGCGGTGGGTCAAATTAGCAATCTACCCATCGCTTGATTCCGTACGAGACATTAATAGCTCCCCATTGATATTCTTTCTTATCGAATCACCTCTGACAAAAGATTCGGAACAATCACGACCCCATAAATACGGGCCAACACGAGCCCTTACCCAACGGTGGCATTCTTGTAATTTAAACATCTATATAATTTACTATTATTAAAGCAATTGGATTATAATATTTTTCATTAACTATAGTGCTTTACTTGATATGATTAATGATATCATGAATTATGATCATTTATTTTCATTATTTTTATCTATCAATAATCTAATTTGCGAATAAAATGAAAAAAAAAAATCAAATTCTAACGGATATTGAGTGTAATAAATATAAATTTAAATGTCTTTTATATGATTATTATTTTAAATTAACTGAAATAATAAATAATAATTACTAATAAAAAAATATTACAAAAATATCATTAATAAACCAAATATAATTCAACTAGTTTTTTAAGGTCCATCAATCTCTATTAGTTTGATTTGAATGTTTAAGTTCTCATAAATAGTGAAATTTTTTTTTTCATGTATGTATATTTTCGGAGAAATTCTATAAAATAAAACTGTTGAATTCAAATTTGACTTTGATTCATATCCAAGGTAGGAAGTGAAGAGAGAACAACGAGACTTGCTCGTAGGGGCGAAAATGGTGTCTCTGAACTGTTGGCCTTTTCTATTTCTCGAATGTAGTTATTACATTTAGAATGTGAGAGAATCTCCTTACATAAGAGGTTTTCAGGGAGAAGAATTTAAAGATCTCTAATACATTAAACGACCATCTTATTTATAGAAGACAAAAAAAACAAAAATATAAATTTCATAACTACCCTTGTTTAAAAAAGGGTTTACAAAGTGTTTATGTCTTTTGTCGTCCAGGTCATTGGTCGTAGGTCAGCAGTGGTCATTAGTCGATGGGCTTAGATGACTAGTCGATAGGAGAGCAACCGCCCGACTGTTAGGGCGGTGGTCGACCGATTGTTGGGAGCTGACCATTGATGCCATATTCGTAAAAGGCGGAGAGTGCTTTGAAGGTCTGACTTGAGGGGCTAGGTGGTTGGTTGGTCGGCTTCCGAGGGCTCAGTTGGAGGGAATTGGGTGGCAGGCCGGTTGGCCTCAGGGAGCTCTGTTGAAGATAATCATGTGGCCGGTCCGATGGGTGATCAATCAAGGGTGGTCGGCTGGAGTAGGGCAATGACTTCGTTGTGTTGTTCGTTGCAGAAAACACATTTTTAGGTGCAGAGAGTTGAGTTTTCCCCTGAGCTGATATTTACAAAAAAAATATTTTAAATATATTTTGAATTATCAAATAAAAAAATTTAAAAACAGAAGATAAATTATGATTATTTTTAATATATATGTAAAGACAAATCAATCAAAATAATACAGCTTCAAATATGATTTAAGGGTCCGTTTGGGGCAGCTTATAAGTGAGGACGGCGTTTTCAAAACGCCATCATACCGTTTGGTTCCCGCGTTTCGCCAACTAATCTGAAACCGCGTTTGAGTTTTTACACTAAACGCAGGCCGCGGGTCGACCCCCGCGGCCCTTCAGGATAAACAGTTTATCCTGAAACGCACAAGCTGCCCCAAACGGACCCTTAATCATACATTTCAATTTTAAATTAATAAATCTAAACAAAATGATCCTGCTCTATTGATTTTAAAATGTTTTATTAATTTTGTTCTATTTTTAGTTGCTTGTAAGAAATTGAGTGGAATGTGTATATCCCGGTTCTCTTAGATCGAGCTGAATCAAGTCAAGTTGTGAGCCAACCTCTATCAACTCAACATTCTAATTCTTCATGCAAATGCACTTGGCCATAAATAGAAGGTTATCTCAAGATAAAGTCGGATACATTCTATAACCACTTTGTTACACTCTGGGTATGTAAGACCAAAATAAGATATAATTTATTGAACATATTTTATATTCTTAAAAGAAAAATTGTATGCAATTAATAATGAAAATAAATATGGAATTATAAATTTTAATTTATGATTGATAATTCAGATAAAACCTGAAAGAAAAGCAAATATATTGTTTGAATAAAAAATGAAATGGTAATAAAAAACGACTACTTATATCCAAAATGAAAGTACAATAAAAAAAACAAATATTAAAAAAAATATTTTAAAAATAGGAAATCTGAAACAAAAAAGTTTGTTCTGATAGGGACTGTTATTGTAGTGGTTGAATGAAACATATTATGTAAAAAAAAAATTAACGAGTAAGTTTGATAATAAAACTCAGTAAATAATAATTATTTATTAAAGCATAAATGAAAAATGAGACATGCAATACGAGCAATAAAAATGAATAAACTTTTTTGTATTAAATTTCCTTAATTGTACTGCAACACGACTATCAAGAAGTAAGAGAATAGATAAATTAAATATGTACATCAAATATGCATCATCACAAATCTCGAGAAAATTCAATGAACAAAAAAATAAAAGTGTGGTCAAGGATAGTTCACAGAAGCAAGACCAAATGTCACATCACTGAAATACTAAAGACCTGATTGACCAAATACAACTCTTTGGGCCTGAGACCATAGGCCAACCAAATGAAGGCCATCCAAGCCAATGGCCACTATCTATAAATTAGAGAGAAGGCATCAATCCAAATGTTATCCCAACATTGTCAGTCGTTTCACAAGAGACTCCAAAGCTCCTTGAGAGGCCCACGATTTTTACCACAATACAGTCCACAGACATCCCAAAAGAACCACTTTAAGGGGCAAACTACTTTTCAAATTATAGTGATTCACTATTTGCCAAATAAGTTTGTTTCATCCCAGTGATAGGAGCTCCTCATCCAGGGGTCGAAACTCGACAGTTAGACCAAAACAACAAATCGATTGACTTAAGTCGAACGACCGAAGTCTAAATAACGGAAGATCAAGTAGAGCCAACCGACTACCCCAACTCAACAGAGTCAACTTAAGGAGACTTGTCAATCCAAAGACCATCAATTTTAGACGATGGAGCAATAGGGTATTCGAGCCAGAAAAAATATTACCTCAGGAGTACTGATGCATCAGTACTCCTATGAGGGGTGCCACGTAGGCACCACGGGGGGACCATTGCCTACGTGGCACCCCCTCATTGAAGTACTGATGCATCAGTACTCCTGAGGTAATATTTTTTCATTCGAGCCATAAACTCATTTATGTATACACCCAAAATATTCTGTAATACCCTCATTAAAGCAAGTGTAACTATGTAATATGCACACGACACCCGCCTTCTCCTATAAATAGAGTAAATCATTTCTATAATAGGAGGGAAATAGTCAACCATCAAAGAACCATTTTTTAACTATACTCTCTCTCTCTTACTCTTTAGACACACACATATAAATAAAGATATATATATATATATATATATATATATATATATTGTGGGTAAATATATAAGAAATAAAAAATTCAGTGGTATGCATGCGAAGCCCCAATTAAAAAAAGTCAATAACAAATTTGTTGGACAAACATTCCAAGGAAGACTTCCTTTGCAAGAAAGGTTAGATTTAGAAAATAAAAAAAAATGAGAAAATACGTGGAGATGACAGCGAACGCCGTTTTCCCGTGTCCGGCGCACGGCGTTATCTTCCCAACCGTCGCCGCCGATGTCGTCTCGCACTCCCCCCACGTCTCTATCAACCTCCAACCAGTAAAAAGTTCGTGTTCTACGAGCTATTTATAAATGAAAAATAATAGTAGTTGTAGAGAAACTAGTGTCTTCCTATGGTCCAAAGGAGATGCCCAGGACTTTGGCTTTTACCTCTGCGCATACCGACGACGCACTCCGCGCTGTCACACTAAAGCGAAAGAAGATTCCCCTTCCTTCCCCCTTCCCTTTCTCCGCCATTCACCAGCCCCCAAACCCTAGATCTGAAATCCCTTTCATCATGATCATCCCGATAATTTGATTGTTTTGTTTTCGTTTCTGCGTTTTTGGTTGCCCGGCCGTTTGAATTGCATCCGTTTCTGGTTTGTGCGATGGGTTGTACTAGTTCTAAGTTTGAGGATCTGGAGGCGCTTGCTCTCTGCCGCAAAAGATGCGATCTACTTGCGCAGGCTATAAGCCATCGTTACGCACTGGCAGATGCACACGCGGCTTACTCCGAGTCTCTTCGATCGGTCGGTGTTGCCTTGCATCGAGTTGTTGATGGCAGCCATGGAGCTCATCCGGATAATTCTCCTGTGCTCACGCTTCCGGGTCAGCGTAAGGGCGAACATATCCCTATGTCGTCGTTATCATCGGCACCGGCGCCGGCGCGGGGGAATCTTCCGCCGGTGGCTACAATTTCTGCCGCGCACTCTCACTCCCGATCTCAGTCAGGATCTCACATCCATTTTCACTCCGATGACTCCGATTCCGACGACATATCACCTCTGCACTCTGACGGCGATTCCCCTTTTCATCATCATTCAGACCACCATGAAACGCTCGGCGGAGATCCCACCTACGTCAATCTGCACTATTCGAAGAGTAATCCTCCCCCTCCTTCTGTTTCAATCGAGCAGCGCGTGGGAAGCCCTGAGCACGTTCAATACGGCTCCGTCTCTGAACCACCACCGTCAGCTTACCCTTACCCATACCGTTATCCGACACAAAACCCCAATTTGTATCCGTACCCCTTCCCTTACGGCTACCAGCCTAATTACTATGGTTTTTTAGGTTCATCGTCTCCTCCTCCTGCGATGTCTCAGTCTATTCCTGCTGTCACTGGAGCGAACTCCAAATCATCCACTTCCCGGGCGGCTCCGCCTCCTCCTTCTCCTCCCAGGACGTCGACCTGGGATTTCCTGAACCCGTTCCAGCCCTTTGATAGCTATTATCACAGTCCCAGTAGGAGCTCCAAAGATGTGAGGGAAGAGGAAGGGATCCCTGATCTTGAAGAGGATGAGCTGGAAGTTATCAAGGAAGCATACGGAGACCAAAAGTTTGCAGCTTCTACATCTGCTGGGGATGCACCAGAGCAGTCGAATAAATCTGCTTCGGTTGAAAAGGACGATGCTGTTGGAAATCCCATTGACAGTTCGAGCTACCATCCGAAGCCGAAGGATGATGATGTGGTTGTTGTTGAGAAGAATGTTGTTGGTGATGAATTGCAGAAACCCCCGGAGGTTCGGACTGTTGTTCCGCCTAGACGATATCATAACGTATCTGAGGTTGCGAGTGAGATTCGAGTCCAATTTGAAGGGGCATATGAGTCGACCAAGGAACTCGCTAAGATGCTAGAAGTAGGAAAGCATCCTTATAGCGACAAAGGCTGTGCTTCTGCAGGTGAATGAACGCTGCATTTTCTGTTGTCATTTTCTCTTCTGTTAAGTAAGAATTTCTCTGCAATTGTTGATTTTTTATATTGATTTTCCAATCTTCTATATTCCGGGAAACAGTATCTTCGAGAATGTTGTGTGTGATTCCTGTCTCTATATCAAAGGATGAAGATTTAGTCTATGTAGAGGATAAAGTAATGAGCACTGGGAATCTTTCTTCAACGTTGCAGAAGCTGTACATTTGGGAACATAAGCTTCTTGATGAAATCCGGGTATGTGTGCCTATCTTGCTATGTTAATGTTCATCAATGGCTTACGTGAACTGGCATGCTCTTCTTGTTCTAGCGTGAATTCTTTCTTTCCTTTTTTCTCCCTCACACATTAAATTTTGTAAGTTGGGCTGCAACGTTGTATTTAGGATTATCTATTTTCATGGTTTTCATAAACGGAGCATCATTGGTAAGTCTCTCACACTTAAAAAGTATAAAATTTATGTACTAACTCTCATGGGCATGTCACGAAGTAGCCATGACACACCCTTCCAATTGCTCCATCTCGAAATTGCTGCAAGTTTTTTAGACAGGTCATAATGCCTCTGTGCTATTTGGGATTTTTCTATGTTCAATAAGGGGAAAACCCAATGTTGTAGAGTGCTACATGATTTAGAAAACTAGGCTCGACAAGCTGGCTTACCCTTGTACCTCTCCCTTGACAAGTTTGGTTTATAGTTAAAAATGTTTTAGATAAGAACTGGGTTGAACCGGATATAACCTACCGTTTAATCAATGAACTGTTGAATCGGCAGTGGTTTGATTCAAACCGTACACTTCATGTTATAATCAAAATTTTATTATTTAATTTTAATGAAACGATTAAAGTTTAGGTGGATCTTACATATATTCCACATAAAACCTTCATATTTACATATCTTACATCTTAAAACACTTTAAATACCACCCATTAACCTCCATCGATGCCCAACAGCTTCACCAGGCAGACGAGTGGATAGAAATTAAGATGTTTAGTCGGAGATTTGAGATATTGGGTCATTGGCCTGCAAGTTCAACTTTGTCAAGTTCACACTCAGCTGATGCTCTTTGAAATTGATCAAATCCGTGTCCCGTCTCCTTCCTCTATTTGTATGCCATCATGGTCCAAGCCCGCAACACTACACCATGCATTATGCTCAACGACAACGAACTACTATTGCCATGCCCTCATGCCCCTGAGTCTCCAAAAAGACTCCTCTGCCATCTTTTCTCTTTGAACCACAATATCAAATCAAATCTAGCTAGTTGCTCGTCTCAAATTTCTATTCGCCCCACACAAAGCTCCTCATCAGCCAACAATGCCGTCTCTCATACTTGCGCTACCAAGGTATAAAAAATACTGAGATAAGTATATTTCCTATCTTCCTCCAGGCTTTAAACAGGTTTCCTCTATGCTAGCTTTCTCAAATGACGAGAAGACATCCACAAGTATGTTGCTATATTCTATTCTCCCAATTTTTTCTCATCTTGCAATGCTCATGGAAGCTTAGAGCATAAGAGGAAGTTGATATTTCATGAGCTAGCAGAGTGGGATTTTTATGATGTTAAAAAATATATTGGCTGTTATATAGGTAAATATTAAGTTTTCAATGTGATATATACAAATATAAGGGTTTTATTTGATATGTTTCTATATCCCTCAAATCTTAATCTTTATATAATAATTTGGAGTCTAAATTTTCCAAATAAATTATAAAATGATAAACACTATTATATGATGCAATATTCATTATGAGTTTTAGTATGGGTGATGAAAACTCATCTTAAAGAATGTGTTTTATTGAAAACTTGAAAGTCTATATGCCCACATGTCTCATTTTTTTTCATTTTTTCATGAACGATACTAGCCAACTCAGCGGTAGCATTTCCTCTTGAATAAAATCAACATTATTATTAGGGTGTCAAATTGGGTTTGTGTGCCGGATTCAAGTCTGACCCGAAATTGACTACCCGAAAATTTATTAACCCTAACCCAACTTGAATATTAAATGGGCCAGAAATTCTAACATGAACCTCACCCGTCTTCAACCGTTGACTCGAACCCTAACTGAATAACTTGCTTATTATAAGGTATAACAACTAGTCAGGTCGATTTTAGGTCAAATTTGTGTCGATTTCGAGTTGTCAGGTCAATTTTGAATCAATTTTTGCTTAACGGATCAGTTTCGGGACAATTTCGGGTGATAGATTAACCTGAGTCCTGAAAAATTACATGGGCTAGGATTCCAAACCCAACTCGAAATTATTCAGGTCAACCCGCATGCAAATTTTTTGAATCGAGTTCGGGTCGAGTTGACATGTCAGGTCAATTTTTGACACCCTCTCGTTACTATTCACCAAGTCATTTATTTTATTATTTTAGTTAATGGCTATAGCGCTTTGGTGTTTTAGAGGATGGAATCTCTAGGATTGTTTTGACTTAGTATCGGTCTATCTTTATACTCTCAAGGGTGTGGAATTTCTTGATTCTAGTGCCAAAGGTAAATTGAGAGGGTTAATACGCATATTATAATTCCTTAAAGTGGCAAAGGTTTCTCTCATGTCTTGTATAGATTGTTTGCCTATGTTGTTTTTAGTAGTATGTTTTTCTTTTTCTAGTCTCTAAACACGTAGTCCAACATCCTTTGATAATTCATTCCAATAACTTCAGGTTGAATAACATAACATTGGGGCAATAGAGCCTATCTCAAGTGCTGTAGGTATTCTTTTATGATTGATTCATGTTGGCAAAAGCTGAGAAGCCACACCAACTGCTACAGGGGAGAGTTTTGTTTGCCCAATTGGATAGGAAAACCCACAAAAGCAACAATACCGGAGAAGCCTGCTAGGATTGGCTCGTTGAATTAACCTTCTGCTGGCGGCGTTGATCTCAGTAATCATGGAAGCCACAACAACTATGAGAACTAGGAAGCATAGAAGTAGCACCCAATTGGAGTAATTACCTATAAGAAGCACCAACCACTCGCAAGGAGCATTGATTGCCCACAAGAAGCATAAACCACAAGACAATAGGAAACACTGCAGAGAAACAAGAAAATGTATAAATAGAAATAACATAATCTAGAAGTCAAAGCCAACAATAGATGCCCCATCCTATTTATGTTAAATTTTAAGATGCAAAAGAGAGAGAGAGAGAGAGGAAAAAAAAAACAGGATGACTAAAAATTCAATGATTTAAATCCAAATTTTAGAAGTTCAAAAGTTGAAACCATTGATAACCTAACCATCTTACATTTCTGACAACTATAAACTTGAGTTTCACATTATCTCCCTTAACGTGGTATTTATCTTGGTGTTGGCTTTTTAGCCTTACTCTTACATAGCGGAATGGCTGTCCTGGTGATTTAAACTAATGATTTCTTGGTAAAAAAGATTCAACTTATCACTTTTACTATTGCTGACCTCCTTTTACTTTTTTCTTATTGTGATATTAAATACTTCTGGTTGACTTGTCATTCTTGGGGAATTGATGTGACATCTTTCTCATACCATCTTGCAGATTTTCCCTTATTATTGTACTTGCTTAATTTGTTACCATCGATGCCCATGTAAGTAAATTGTAATTTTTGGTAATTTTTGTTAATATCAGAGGAAGACCCTATTAGCTTGCTCATCACAATAAGGTATTTGGATGGTAGCATTACCAGTCGAATGGAACTAGTAGCTAGCATGGCTTCTTATGCTTGAGTAGCTTTTGGCGGAATTTCATACGATTTTTGTTAATCTTGAGAAGATATTTAATCAAGATGATAGAATTGATTTGGTACAATGCATATTATGTGCAAAAAAGTGCATCAAATGTATGCTCAAGTTTTTAAATGTATGGTTGATAGAACATCAATTAGTATTAGAAGTGGGGCTATATTAAGGACCAATGTTGAGTTCATACCCTTTGTACTATTTATGGAGATGCTAGAGTGGATTTTCAAATTGAAATGTTTAATTATTTGTTTTTGGTGGATGAAAATTCTAATCGATGAGATATTTATTAAAATTGATGGAAAATTATTACGAAGTAGATATGTTTAGAAGATAAATGGCTTGGGATTAGTAGAATAAAGATTGAATATATAATGTACATTTTAGTGATTAATGTTAATCATTTTCAACAAATATTATTAGAAAGTAAAATGACACTTCTGTATGATGGGTTTGTGTCTTGTGGGTTTATTGTAGAGAAGAATGAAAAATTAGTTTTTATAGTTAGACAAATGTAAAATGTCGAAATATCTTAAGCGTATTATGCAGTAGAAATGCATGAAGACTTAGGGTTTGTTTGGGATTGCTTTTTACCTATTTTGTTTTTCAAACTATCACCATAGTTCTGTCTGGGGAATCACTTTCTTGCTGCTTTTTAGAAATTTATGTGGTGTAAAGCTGTTTTTTCAACCATAATTGTTAAAGTGTGGTAGCTACCGTAAAGCTATGGTATGTCGTTTTGAAAATAAAATAAATTTGTAATAGCTACAACAACTTTTTGAAAAATATTTCTTCTGCAGCAGTTTCATGACTCTTTTTCAAGTAGTTGCAGGTTCCCCAAACAAACCATTAAATGTATGAAGACGTTGATGTATGAAGGCTTAAAGATACATATTAAGACATTATAAGTAGGTTGTCTATTTTATACGGATCACGTTTTTGTAGTTAAAAAGCCATGGTGACTTGAGTCGAGCGTAAAGAAAATGAGAATAAATAGATAAATGCATCTTAAAACTAAGAAAAGTAAATTTAGGCATGATTATATTATATGGCTTGTTAGATGGTTATATATTGAAGATAAGATAGCTTCAAATAGACTTGAGTGGTTTAGATATTGATAATGAGAAAAATGCAGTCATTAGATGATTACATAAAATCGGCGTCAGTGATTAGGAACGAAAAGAGGTAAACTGAATGTAACCCTAAGAGAAGCCCAAAATTTTATAATAATGAAATTTAACAACTTACTCATCTTTTCTAAGGTTCCCAGTACTTCTCTAATGTTTTAAAGGTTCTTTTGAAGTTGACCTTGTATGACTTGGCAAACCTAATTAAATTAAATTCATTACATCTAAATAATTATATTATTCATAAGCTAATAATTATTCAAAGTGATGCAAATCCTATCCTTTTAAAGAGGCGGTCGGTCATATTATGATGATGATTATCATTTAATTCTTAATGCAATCTTTATGATGAAAACTTCTCATCTTCTTAAGGTTCTCCAATTCTTCTAGAAGGTT